ATCTTCTTGGTGAGTGAATTTAATTTTATTTTAAGTAAACAGGTAAGTGAAAATTTACTTTCTTTTTCATTTCAAGTGCCAAAGTTTTCTTATAGTATGTGAATTTATGCTTGTTCTAAGTAAATTATCATTCTTGGTAAGTGGAAAATTACTTGATTTCTCATTTCAAATCCCAAGTTTTTTTTCGGTTGGTGAATTTATGCTTGTTTTAAGTAAATTATTATTTTTGGCAAGTAACAAATTTCCACGTCGTTCTTAGCAACTTCATATGTACTTGCTTTAAGTAAACTCTTTTGCTTGGTAAGACAAAGTTTACTTGATATCTTATTTCAAGCCATGTCTTGTTTAAAACAAGAATATTTTGCTTGCTAAGAAGTTTGGATTTTGTTGTATATATAAGACTGTACAGATTAATTGTTATCGTTTAATCGGAACGCATCCGGGCCTACCAGAATTCTTGACGCCCATTCATGTGAGTGCAAAATATAATTTAAATCAACAACGTAAATCTATATTTTCTGGGCTCTTAATTATTATGCACTGAGCTCTTAATTTCTTTCAAGTAAAGAAGACAAAGATGAAATAAAATTATTTGCGATTTTACAGGTCAGATTTGTATATTAATGAAAACAATTACTCTAAAATTTATCCCAAAAGCGCGTACTACCTCTGCGGTTCCTTGAATATGTATGTTAACACAAATGTTCCTCCAAACACGCGTGTGTGATTTTTCATTAATACTTCTCGAATTTTGACAATAAATGCAGTAATATTTAATATGTTCATAATGGGTCCATGAAAGATATATATATATATATATATATATATATATATATATATATATATATATATATATATATATATATATATATATATATATATATAAATATATATATATAATTATATATATATATATATGTTTTCGTGGCAGCTTGTCGACATGTCTTGCTGATGTTAGCAAGACATGTCGAAACTTGCAGTTTGCAGTACACATGTAACACACAGAACTAGTAAATAACGTAACCTTGGCTCACCATCTGATGCCTTATAGCTCAATGGTTAGAGCGTCTGGCCGGTTATCAAAAGGTTACGCGATTCAATTCCCGTTAGGGAATTATATATATATATATATATATAGCTTAAGATTTTGGTTTACGAAACACAAACAGTGCTCAATACCATATAGATAGAGCGTAATATAGTTTTTCGTTTTACCTCAAAAAACCACAACAGTCTGTTTCATCCGTATAGGAATCATCAGGTGGTCCTGATGATTCCTATACGGATGAAATGGCTGATGATTCCTATACGGATGAAACAGACTGTTGTGGTTTTTTGAGGTAAAACGAAAAACTATATATATATATATATATATATATATATATATATATATATATATATATATATATATATATATATATATATATATATATATATATATATATAATATTTGCTGTGTTGGTGTAATGTACTCAGGTGAATATGATGCTTGTGTGATGTTACTCTGAGTGTATATATCCACACCAGGCAGGCTTGAAAAATATGCCTGGCCACGGCGTGATTCGAACCTACGACCTTTGGAATACTAGCCCAATGCTCTGCCAACTGAGCTACGCCATTCCACAACACAGCAAATATCATGATTATTATATTACACTGATATCGAAGGAACTAGACTCAGTTCCGAAATATCGCATACTCGAACCGACCTGACCGCGTAGCTCAGTTGGCAGAGCATTGGGCTAGTATTCCAAAGGTCGTAGGTTCAAATCCCACCGTGGCCAGGCATATTTTTCAA